CCAGCAAACATTTCAGCTACTCCACGATCAATTGATGTTGATAAAAATGAACGATTTAATATATGTTGATTTGAGAGATATTGATCTAAATCATTTTGTGTTATTCTCATACCACGATAACATAAACCTTGATATTGATATTGAGGTAAATTAGGATGATAGATTAAGAGTGTAATAATGTGAACTAGACAATTCACAAGACGATAATTTGATGAAAAATCTTTTGTTGTATCACAATATTGTAATATATACAGAGCCAAATGTTTATTTAATACTTTATAAAAACAATTTGTTAATGTATAAGCTTTTATAAAATATGTTAAATAATCTTGTTTTTCGATAGCTTCTTTAAAATATGCTTCTATAGTTTCAATTTGTTGACGAGTAATTTGATCTTCTAGATTGCCAGTATCATTAATTTCATTTATCAGATATTCATTTAAATAATAATGAATAACTTCAGCTAATAATTTTGATATTAAATGATGATTATCATAGGTTTTATATAAATCAATAGCTTGACGAAATTCACGTCGTTTTCCAAGGAGATCATCTCCTACTACTGACCATTCAATATAATCATAATCAAAATCATTATTTGAAAATAATTTGCGATGTTCTACAAACAACTGTTTGATATCATCTGCACATGCTTCTTCATAAGGTGTTAAATTGTGTCGTAAATTTCTAATGGAATGTTGAGCTCCATATTCTAATAAAAGTTGTACCATATGTTGATGTCCATAATAACATGCCACATGCAAACATGTTGAACCAGTTGAATTTTGAATTTTATTTATAATATCTATATTATCAATATATGGTAGAATATTTCGAACTTTTTCTAGTTCATTCTCTTTACATAAATGATATAATAAATCAACAATATTTGAATCATTGTTGTCATTATTTGATGAGGATAGTGATAACATTATGATGAGAAGGAAAAATCGAATTTAAAATACATATGAATATGATTTTAATGTGCTTTGTATATTAACTATAAAAGACGAACAAGAATAATAGTTTAAACCATGAATTTTTCTTTTTCTATTTATTCTACATTTAAAACATTCATATTGAAGATATAATACTTTGATACTTACAAAAAGAAATTAAAAGTACTTATATTTAGATGCATTTTATGGTTTTTATTGCACAACTCTTTATATTTGCCGTAAATTATATCAAAACATAGATGTTTCGTTTAGCACAATGCTCACTTATATTTCATAGGTTGGTCAAAATATACAGTAAAAAGAACGTGTACTCTGAAAAAAAATAGAAGAACTACACTTACCCTAAAATAGTTCGAAAAATCGCAACGAATTCTGAATCGTTTGAAGGTTTTACACGAAAAAAAGGATACATATAGATTTACTTTTTCTACAAAAAGAAAATTTCGAAATTCAGAATACATCTGTATTAGATCTTTTCGAGACCCAAACTTTCGCGACGGAGACTTCCAATTTCATTTCCATTCTTGAATATATCTTTTTATGCACACATCTACTCACCAAATTCTTAATTCAACTCTCCACCTACTTATCTATTTATCGATTTGTTTACTTATTTATCTTTGTAATCATTTACATAANCATTGAGGTCTATGAAATATAGAATTAGTAGATTTCACTGGACAACTTGAAATCAAAGTCAGTGAGTTTGATTGTCCATAAGACAAGAGAGAATTTTAATTAATATGTTTAAAAGCCAAAATACACATATTTCGATTCAGTTGGAAAGAGTCTTCATATTTTAGCCTCTTAGAACCTTCTCTAACAAGCTCTTTTATTATTTCAGTTTTACCTAGTGGTAATGGAGAGATATCATCACCGTCGTCTTCTATGACAGGCGTTGTCATATCTGTAGATGTTGCCATATTTGTAGTCTTTTTTGTGGAATCTTTCTGAATAACGAAAATAAAAATGAATATAAACGTTAAAGCCAAAAGAATAGCGAACACCAAAGCTCCAATGATGCCATAAAGACGAAATTTTCGTTGTTTGAATTTTTGATATTCTTCGACATCTTTTATGTCATCACTAGTTGATGATAATGATGATGTTCTTGATGTTTCACCATCTGAAAATTTGGCAGAATCGAAAGAGGTAATTTTTTTCGAAATACGTGCAGAAAAGCATCTTACTTTCTGATTCATTTTTATTATCATATGGATCTTCACATTCTTCTAATTCAATTTCAATTGAAATTGATGCTGTTGGATTATCAAGATGATTTCTTTTAATTGCTATGACTTTAAAAACAGCAAACGGAAGTATTAAAATTTCTTTTTCATCCGGTCTTGTTGATAAACTTTGTATATTGATAGCTGTTGAATTTTGTTTTATTAAATATTGACATAAACATGAATATTGTAATGCACAATGATCTTTAGGAGTATGTCTCATTTTAGATTGTTGACCTTCGCCAGCAAACATTTCAGCTACTTCACGATCAATTGATGTTGATAAAAATGAACGATTTAATATATGTTGATTTGAGAGATACTGATCTAAATCATTTTGTGTTATTCTCATACCACGATAACATAAACCTTGATATTGATATTGAGGTAAATTCGGATGATAAATTAACAGTGTAACAATGTGAACCAGACAATTCACAAGACGATAATTTGATGAAAAGTATTTTGTTTCATCAAAATATTGTAATATATACAGAGCCAAATGTTTATTTAATACTTTATAAAAAAAATTTGTTAATGTATAAGCTTTTATAAAATATGTTAAATAATCTTGTTTTTCTATAGCTTCTTTAAAATAAGCTTCGATAGTTTCAATTTGTTCATGAGTAATTTGATCTTCTTGATTGTCAGTATCATTATTTTGATTTACCAGATATTCATTTAAGTAATAATGAATAACTTCAGCTAATAATTTTGATACTAAATGATGATTATCATAAGTTTTATATAAATCAATAGCTTGACGAAATTCACGTCGTTTTCCCAGAAGATCATCTCCTACTACTGACCATTCAATATAATCATAATCAAAATCATTATTTGAAAATAGTTTGCGATGTTGTACAAACAGTTGTTTTATATCATTTGTAAATGCTTCTTCATAAGGTGTTAAATTGTGTCGTAAATTTCTAATGGAATGTAGAGCTCCATGTTCTAATAAAAGTTGTACCATATGTTGATGTCCATAATAACATGCTACATGCAAACATGTTGAACCAGTTGAATTTTGAATTTTATTTATAATATTTATATTATCAATATATGGTAGAATACTTTGAACTTTTTCTATTTCATTTTCTTTACATAAATGATACAATAAATCAACGATATTTGAATCATTGTCATCGTTATTTGATGAGGATAGTGATAACATTACGATGAGAAGGAAAAATCGAATTTAAAATAAATACGAATATAGTTTTGATATGTTTTGTGCATTAACTATAAAGAAAGAATTAAAACAATAGTTTTAAACTACGAAATTTTCTATTTCTCTTTGTTCTACATTCAAAACATTCACATTGGGGATATAATACTTTGATATTTATTCAAAGAAATAAAAAGTATTTATATTTGAATGTATTTTATGATTTTTATTGCTCAGCTTTTTATAATTCTCGTAATTTATATCAAACCCTAGATGTATCGTTTAGCACTATGCTCACTTATTTTTCATGGGATGATGTCAAGCTATACAGGAAAGGAGCGTTTACTCTAAAAAATAGAAAAACTGCACCAAACTTTTAAAAAGTTTGCAAAATCGCGACGAAGACTTTCAATTTCATTTCCATTCTCGAATATATCTTTTTATGCGCACATCTACTCAAGAAATTCCTAATTCATTTCTTCACCTACCTATCTGTTTATCAATTTGTTTAATTATTTATCTTTATAATCAGTTACATAATTATCTATCTCTGTATTTATCTATTTATTTATTTAACTATCTCTCTGTCTACTTAATTAATTACCCGTTTAACTACCTGATGAATTGTCTATCTTTCTATCTATTTGTTGGGAAAAGAAATACTTTATCAACGATTTATTCAACTAGCTATGCGTTCATTCTCGAAACAATATAATATTTTTAGGAAAAATCAATTGAATTTTGTTTCACACTTATGGATGAGGAGTTCTCAAACTATTCTGAAAATTGAACTTCTGTACCATTTGACTGATTACGTCATAGGCTTAGGAAATCAACACTTTTCAGAAGTTGAACAATCAAAAGATCGTTTAATAAGATTCACAGGCGATGCCATCGTCCGAAATGCAACACTAGAAGCAGGAATTTCAATATTAATTGGTCTATTCGATAGGCAGATCCGGCCAGCAGAGTTGAGTGTGCAAATTTTGATAAGGTGCTATTATTATTTTAAGTGTATTATTCTTTTGTAGAGCGAATCAAGAGTTTTAGAATGGTAGATACAAGAAGCTGCTGTAATGCTATTTCTGCAGACAAACAATCGAAATAGAATGAAAAAAAATATTGTCATGAGTCTGTGAAATCTCTTGAAAAAGTAGCTTTTTGGAAGTACTGCAACGAAGCCAGATTGTCTTTATAGCTTAAGTATTCTGTTTGCAACCATCTTTATAATTCTACCAAAGAAAGTAATCAATAAACATATAAAAACTTTCATTGTTAGGATCTCGCTCCTCATCCAATTCAAGGCTTCTTGGAACGTGACAGTGCGCCGTTCGCCGGTATGTTTTTGCTGCTATTCTTACTTGTATTGCTGTTCTCATTTCTGATGGGCTGTTGACATTTTATTCTGTTATCTTGAATTTCGTGAATAAAAAGCAGGAGAGTTAAGGGGGAGAGGGAAGCAAGATCCCAGGAGTGCGTGTTTTACCATGCTTTACTGCACTTCACTCATATATTAAATGTTTTACTTGGAGTACTGAAGTCTCGTTTTTTTTCTCCTTGAGGAGATCACATCGTTTTAATTGTGTCGTACGTCAAATCATTAAACAATAATAAAACAAAAAAGTAGGTTTGGATTATCTTTCACGAATACGCTTCGACATTCAACTTTATTGAAAAGAAAGTAAATAGGCATGTGGATCAATATGAGTGACTTTTTCTTCTGAGCTGATATACTATTGATGTTTCTCTTTTAAAGGTTGAGAAGAGAAAAGGACAAATAAATTTATTGCGTACTTACCACACAGATAATGGACTGACTCGTTGTCATCGTACTTCATTTCTACCAAAAATAAAATGCAAATAATGCTTTCAATGCTTATATCTGTGCAATTATGTCAGCTTTTTTCTATTCTCATGGTCCCTTCTCGAGAGAAGAAAAACCTTATTACTGTTTCGCAATAACTGAAGGATGAAAAAAAAATAGATAAACGGAAATATAGAGGAACAATTGCAATGATTTCAACTGCTTTTATATTATATATAAAGATGATTTCTTACAAAATGACCTGAGCAATCTCAAGAAGTCGAAATTCACAAAAATTTAATAATTTGCTGACTCCCTTTTTGGAACATTGAATCAACCAATCAAACGACAAAAGTCATGGTTTAACAGATTTAAATTAATGAAAGAAACGAAATTAGTACTTTTAATTTACTGAAAAGTCGAAACATACAAAATAATATTGAGCCATTATTTTCGATCGGACATACAGCAAAGGACGGGACTGATCAGAACGCAAGTCCATCCTTGCAACCTCTTTCTATCGAGTTCCTAACTATTTTATGTAGAATAGTAACGCGCATCAAGATGAGTATTTCATGTAACGGAACTAAGAATTACACTTGAACCTAGTATCCAGTATATTCCGTTCATTTTTTGCACTGATGATCGTTTTTAATCTGACGTTCTGCTTGCATCAGAATAGAATAAGATATTTTTTATTCTAACTGATAAATCATATCATCCTTTTTACTTCAGTCACTCAGGCGTTATAGTTCAAATATGAACTATAAATTGAATTCACATAAATCAAATAGTCAGCAATTCCATTCTGTTTTCAATGAACGTTCAAAAACGATGCTCAATATTTCCAGAGCGAATGCAGAATTTTTTGAACGTATGCACAGAACGAATAACGATCTTCGACTATTTGCGAGAAGGATTTTCGATTTTGTAACAAACTTTCATGAATCCTAGAATCTTATCTTTGTCTTTTATTAGAAAAGTCAGCTTTTTGTGTAAAATATGAATACATAAAAGCACTAGAAGTTTATCTGGTCTACAAACTAAGACGTGAAAGTTAAAACATTGTCATTGTATGAGTGTAAACATATTTTCCTGAATACTCTTCCTATTCCATGTTTTTGAAGAATATTACTCAGCGAAAAGAATTTTTATACGTACTAAAAACTGCATTTTCGCAAAAAAAGTTGCATAGAAGCTATTGTTTTAGGATTTGCACGGTATAGAAAAACTGTAAAGTCTGTACCACAGTTATTGTTCGTTTTGTGAGATGATATTTCGTCTCATACTATCGGGAGTGGCATAAAGATTGCAATATTTGATATTTTGTAAATATCACATCACAGATACATTATATAATCTTGAATTCCTTTAAAGATGCACTGTGAGAAGCTCTACAAAAAAAACTATCCGTCATGTGACCCGTTCATTTTGGATATAGCAGACACCATCAGAACAAGTCAATAGGAATAGGTTTTTACAGCTTTTTTAGAACTTTTTACGATGCATCTGTAAAAAATAATCAAGATTATATGATTGATCTATAGTGTGATAGTTGCAAAATACTAAATTTTACAATATTTATGCTGTACTCGGTATAATTCAAATAAGGCTGTCATGTTAATGCGACAGAAAAGCAAAAAGAAAAGTTTATCAAAATCATAATTTATAATTCTAATAATGTTGTCATGTAACGGCGACAAAAAAATTAGAAGATAAAGTTTATCTGAATCGTAATTTAGAATTTCAATAAAGCTATGATATAACTACGATAGAAAGCCAGATAGTAAAGTTTATCTGAACCGTAGTTATAACTCAAGAACGGACTTCACTGTAAATGAATTCTTAAGTTATGGCAATCATATTTTACTTTGAACAAATCCTGTCATCTGTATACTGTTACCGTTCATAGAAACTCCAATGAATTCATTTGTATGTTGTAGTACTGATGATTGAGCGTTCATGATGATATCTTGGAACTCGTCAGAAACTTTAAGTAAATGCATATGAGGAAGGGGTGTGGGTGAGGTGGCTAGGTGTGGGTGTGGGTACGACTCTTCTCTTAACGCATATCCATACCCACATCCTACTTCGAGTAAGTTATTTATACAGACTTTTCCTCCATGCAATAACGTGTTCTATGATACATATGTATAAAGTAGTCAAAATATACCTAAATACTGATGAATGTATACATGTTAAAGAAAAGAAATCAGATAATTGTATAAAAAAGCTTTAACTAATACAAAATCTACAAGATCAATAAAGTGAAATTTTCACTAATGAAATTTCAACAAATACAAAATGATATTTATTTATTTTTTCAAGAATTATTCTCATCAATAAAGAACCGCCCCTCCCCCCCCCCCCCCCCCCCCCCCCCCCCTCCACCACCCCCGCAGTCCGTCACAGAGGTATCAATTGGGTTGTCTG